CTTAGATATGATGGGGCAGGCCACCTTCATCCTTTCTGGACCCGCCAGCCGACATCTGTATATAGTAAAGCAAGCCCCCAAGGTCCACCCCTTCTCCTCACCTACCCACCCACCTACCCACCCACCTACACACACCCACATCAGCACCCGAAAGAGAACCCGCAAACAACGCGACCCTATGCCCCTACGGCCCTATGAGGTATACCTGCGACGCCTCCGACAGCAGCGAATGCGAGCGGCCCTCGAGCACGTGCTGCTGACTCATCACACAGCGTAGGGCCCACCAAGGCCAACACCACACCCACTCAGACCAGCATACACCGGGGGCTCCGGAACCCCCCGATGCAGGCCCCCCCCCAGGACCGCCTCCGGGGGGAGGAGGGGAACCGGAGGGGGAGGTCCGCGGATGAAGCAGCAGCGGCAGCGCCCCCAGGCGGCCCTGCGGCGTCCCGACTGCGGTGTTTGCGGCGGCGGCGGCGGCGGCCGTACTCGCTTTGGATACTACTACCGCCTCCTCCTCCGCCTTTTGTGCAGTCGAGTCTGAGACTCTGAGCGGCTCTCCCCTTTCCAACTGACACGTGTGCTGCTGCTGCTGCTGCTGGTCGCTACGGCCTTCCCTCCCCCCCGCCTTTGCTTGGTCCTGTTCCTGACCCTGTTCCTGCTTCCCTTCTGCTGCCTCCATCTCCTCTCCCTCTCCCTCCGCCGCCGCCGTCGCCTTGTCGAGGGTGTGGGTGCTGTGGGTATTGAGGCTGTCCAGCAACAGCACTCGTGCGAGGAGTAGCCATTGAATCGCGGGGCAGCGCCCCACCAGGTCCTCACCTGGAGGGGGGGGGGAGGGCGGGGGAGGGGGCGCAGCTTAGTGGAGTGCGGAGTAGTCGGGAGGTGTGCGTGTGGGCGTGTGTGGGTTTAGGGTTATAGGGGCCAAAAAGACGGTGTCACCTAGGGAAAGGGAGAGCAGCGGCGGAGGGTTCCCTGCTACAGCCCGTGCACTACTGCCGGGACCGGCTACTGCTTTCTGCAACAACCCTCCCTGCTGCAGCTACAGCCACAGCAGCTTCTCTCCCCACCGTCCAGCTGTAGCTGCTCCTGCGCCCAGCGGTCGCCGCGACTCAGAGAGTCGATACCCAAACCAGCCAGCCCGTCCGCAGGTTGGCTGGTTCCGGAGCCCGATGGCGGAGTTGTCGTACAGGTGTGCGTCTCCTCGGCTTTGCCTGCGGCGGCGGTGCCGCCGCCAGCGCTTCCGCCCCCGACGGCGGCGGCGATCGCGGCTGCGGTGACGGCGGGTGGCGGCCGTGGCGGTGGCTCCGCTGCGTGCCTTGCGACAGCGGCCGAGGCAAACCAGTGGAGTGGGCTGGGTGGAGGGCCCTCATATAACGGCCTGCGGGCGCGTGAGGACGAGCGGGGAGGCTGGTGCGTACGTGTGTGTATGTGTGTTTAGCTACACACGCACATACACACGCACACATACACACACCAACTGACGGCCCCGAGCAGCCTCCCGGTGTGCCCCTTCAGATCCACCCCAACCACCAACCAACCTCCACATGCAACGTGCAACCACTCTCCGAGGCAGATCTCCGCACTCAGACCCCTTCTTCGTACGGCAGCCTCCTTCCTACTCCCCTCCCAAACCCCGAACTCCCTCCCTCTACAAACCCGGTGAGGTTGTTTTGTCCGAAGATGTGCAGACAGGCGATTCCGGCCACCAGAACAGCCTCCAGACGCAAATCTACACCACCAACATTCGAATCCAGGTTTGGTTCCGGAGCGACGGCTGCATCAGACGCGGTTTCAGAGCCCGTACGCACGTCCCCGGCTCTTTGCGCTGAGATAGCTTCCTCAACTGCAGCCGCCGCGCGGCGGCGCACGAGCGCGTAGTACGACTCCACGTCATGTACGGCTTCAGTTTCAGAGCTGCAGTCGAGGAGGGCTTTTATCGCCGGGACAGTTCGTACGGCGTCTAGGAAGGCGCCTTGCGTGATGAGGCGGGCTGCGCGGCTCAGGTCTGGGGTTGGGACAGAAGGAGAGAAGTTGTATAGCAAAGGTAGATAGCAGTGGAAGAGAGGATTGAGCTGCGGCCAATAACGGCTAACGTTTCTTTGTTAGGACTTCGAGTAGAGGGGGAGGCCTGGCTGTCGTGCACGGCAAGAAACGTCGAGACTTTCGAGTAAAAAGGCATAATATGTAAGGGTATGTCAACTGGTAGATTAAATCACTTTCCTCTATATCAACACCGCACAAAGGCAGGCCGCATGGACCGTCCATAAAGCCGCCGCAACACTCACCATCATCCTCGGCGGTCGGCGGACCAGGTTCGCTGACATGCGGTAAGCCACAGCTATGCTGCAGTAGCACCAGCTGCGATACCCTCATAAGGAATACTTGATCAGCAAATCGCTTTTACAGGAAACCGACTGATGGGTTGCCGTAGCCTTGTGCTCCTTTGCGTCCCTCAATCTTTGATTGTGTTATATTAGTTTATTATGTACCAAAATTGTTATAGGCAGGATGTCTAATTCTTCATGAGGATGTTCACATTGGCAATTTCGTCCATTCCCGTGCTGAGGTCGAGCAGACGTTTTGGAGCAACGCAGCCGCGGCATATCACGAAAATGGAGTCATGATATTTAAGAACAGATTTGAAGGCGGGTTGCGACTGCTGACAGGCTTGCACTGCTCTGGGCCCTGAACAACAGCTGACAGCTTGCCCAGTCCAGTCACATCGAGCCATTTCGAGGCCAGTGACAGCCTTACTACGCTAGGTTAAAGTGATTCCGAAACTTAGGCCGCATCATCCTGACGGGCTTTCCTGGGTAATGGCCTTTTTCCAAAGTTGACCGACAGCCGCTGACCGACAGCCGGTAAGCGAGAGGCACGGTGCCTCCGGATGTCCCTTGCCGGCGCTCGTGCGCCAGTGTGCATCGCCGAGAATCCGAACGCTGGATTGCAACATTACTAATAATAATACACTCTCCGTGTGGGCGATGAGCCAGGTAGCTTTATTGATCGTGACCAAATTGTGTGTGACTACCGTAACTGTATGTTCGCCTCCCCTCCACTCCATCTCTGCGTTACACTTATAGCTGGATGCCGCCGCCCAGCAAAACAATGCCTCCACATACCAGCGCGAGCATGCGGCCGAAAGGGTACCTGACCTCCAGGTGCTCTCCCCTGCACCCGTGCATCCCATTACGCAACTCTTCCTGCAGCAGCCCTGCACGTGGCCGTCACTCCTGTAGTGCTGCTGACCACGAGCCTTGCAGGCGCCATGCTGACTAGGAGAGCGCCTGTCATGGTCTGGCGAGCCAAATCTTCTCTCGCAATGTGCTTTGCACGTGCGTGACATATGTTGTGAGTTTTCAAATTGCTATCCGCTTTCCGTTTCCGAGGGTGGGAAACAATGGTGGAGAAACCCAATGGATGGGTGCAGGGAACTCCGGGAACTTGCAGGGAACTCCACCGCTACCCCCATGAACTAAACCGTGGATCCAGCTCTCCGCTCTGCTACCGCTCGGGTCCGAGGTGCTCGTGGAGTACACACACACACACATGTGCACGACCTCCCGGCCGCTCCTTCGTGTAGATCCGGGGAATGAATGGCTCCTGGGCCATTCCATACATATATATATATATATATACGGTAGTTAACAGCTCCGCACTGAAATCGCAGGCGCCAGTACATTTGTCTTGCTCTTAATTTGCTCCTAATGGAGGTCGATCAAGTCACAGCGACGACGTATGTTGCCCAGTAAGGGGGGGAGGTCCCGCTGCTGCTGTGGTAACCCCCACCTGGTACCTGTGTGCTCAAATCGAGCTGCCAAGCCCTCTTCACCCTTGCTGACGCACAGCTCTACAATAACAATGCGTGTATAAGCCTGCAGCTTCTGGTCATACTCAGAATATTAACGTTGTGAAGGGGCGTGGGGTTATTTAAAACATAACAGAGACTGACTATAGTATTGGGCTCTGTAAGCGCATATACCGACTGCAGGGCCTGCAATGCGGATTGGCCGGTGTGGCCGGAGACAGGTTCAGTTTCCTTGCAGACTGTCAGTTTGGTGTGGGTGCATGTTACGGCAACCGTGTCGGTGCCTTAATTACCTTGACGACCTTGGCACCCGTGTGATGACGGTTGTGATGACTCCCCTCCCCTACTGAAAACACTCTTGCCGGCGGCGGCCGGGGCATTTCCTACCAAACCTAACCGATAACCAATGCAACCAACATAACAAACACATGCACCCAAGAGGCAACAACACAGGCAGCCGTTCTCCACAATTATCTTGGATCCTGAATCCTGGATTCCGGTCCTCAATCCTGGACCCTGAATTCTTGATCCTGGACCTTGGATTCTGGATCCTGGCTGGTGTGTGGTTCCACAGCTCGCCTGGTGGGCCAGGGCCCGGAGCCCCCTCCCCCTTTTCCCCCCACGAGCTGCACCATCCTATAGCAGTGATGCCGGGGAAAGTGACGCGTCCCGTCTTAGTCTTTTGCCGTACTTGCGACGGAATTCCTGGAGTTGTGGCCACGTAGGTTCAAGAGAGTGGGTGGGTGGGGGTCGTTCGAGGGGGTGAGGGGGTTAAGGCTAAGGTTAGGGTGGGGTGGGGTGGGTAGTGGGAGGACGGCTCCCCTTGTCTCCCATGTGGGATTCTCGGACATACATACATACGGATGAGTAGCACAGCCCAATTGAGCTGCGCGCTGCTCTGCTCTGCTGTTCACTCCTAAATGCGAATTCGTTAGAAGGGGGGATGCTGTTGCCTGCTGCAGCATTGTCTACGTCTGCCTGGGTGTCTCCCCCCCCTTCCCTCCCCCGCCTAGGACGGCTGCAGTCAGGCGAATGAGCGCATCGAGACATTGATTCATAGGAAGATCGAAGAGGTGTGCGTGTGTGCTAGGTAGTGTAGGGAGCTGTGCGGGCGACAGGGCATCTCCCACCGTAACGCCCCCCACCCCACCCCACCCCGACCCGACCCACACCGCGAGTTCTGCAGCTGCCCCAACGTATCTACATCCCATTCAGATGCCTCTGTGTTGTCGACCCCCCTTGTGCCCCCTTGCCGCCACCATCCCCCTCCCCCACCCCACCTCCCCCTCCCCCTCCAAACCCCGCTCCAACCTCCTTTTGCCCGCACCTGCAGCTTGGGCTGCACCACAAATACGCAGTAGCCTGCCTCGGGGTTACGGCTGTAGTACCGCTGGTGGTACGGCTCGGCCGGGTAGAACACACTCAGCGGTGCGACCTCCGTACAGACCCTGCGACCGAACCATAAGGCCCGATTGGCCTCCGCCAGCACTTCCGCCGCGACCTGCGCCTGGCTGTCATCGTGCGTGAGGATGATGGAGCGGTACTGCGGGCCCAGGTCGTTGCCGCTGCGGTTGGGCGTGGTGGGGTCGTGTAGCGCCATGAAGATCTGCAACAGGTCCTTATACGACAGTACATTTGCGTCGTACTTGACCTGTACGACTTCTGCATGGCCTGTGGTTTTGGAACAGACTTGTTGGTAGGTGGGGTTGGGTACGTGGCCACCTGCATATCCGCTGGTGACAGACACCACGCCCTCCAGCTCCCGAAAGCAGGCCTCGATGCACCAGAAGCAGCCGCCGCCCAGGGTAGCGGTTGCGATTTCAGGGGCCACATTATCGGGGTCCGAGCTCGGCGGTGATGGTTGTGATCCTAGTTTCTTCGATGGTGATGATAGCGATGTGCTGGGTTGGTCGTTTGGGCGGTTACCGTCCGGGCGCGTATTGGCGGGGACTGATGGTGCCAGGAGGGGTGTTGCCGCAGTAGCAGCTGCAGTAGCAGCAGATGATGGCGTGGTGGGCGAGTTGGGTGTGGTTGCGGAAGATGGTGTAGTTGAGGATTTGGGTGATGAGGTCGTGACTTGGTCTGTAGGTGTAGATGTAGGTGTAGGTGGGGATGTAGTGTTGGGCTGGTTCGCCCCGCGGCCAAAGAAGCTGCTGAACAGCCACGTCAGGAGCTCCGGAGTGCGGTCGATGTCCATCACGTCCGTCACCATGGTGTTTGTTTCGCCAGATAACTCCTCGACCGGGCTTTTGCCAAGGTTAAGTTGGGCCACTTCGTCGCGCAATCCGGATCGTGTAGAGGCCACCAATTGGCAACGATGCCGACGCACTGCTTTGTCCACAGGACATTGTACAAGCGGTGAACGTCTAAAAAGCCTTTGCATGATAATGTTGCTTGCCTGGTTGACTGTAAGGCGGGCTACTAGGTTGCAAGCGGGAGGATTGTTGTATAGCAGAAGTTCACGCACACAACGACCCAGAAATGTAACGCGCTGGTGATGCTTTAATGTGCATCATTGTTTGGCCTCTGCCAAACAATGCGAAGCGTGATGCTTACTATTAGCTGCCGGTTCCTGGCTGGCTGGATGGATGTTTTCTGCCTAGGCTCCGTTACACACTAAGCACACCGCTGCCCCACCGGGCTGTAACAAACAAAGCAGGACGATGTTATTAGAAAAATGATAAACACAGACACCTCACGACTCAAGTGGACCGTTACAGGGTATTTCCACTAGGCCGCACACTAACTTTTGGACATTATCTTTAATGTGGACTCAGTTTGTGGCTTGTGGACAGGTGTTTCCACTAAGCGCCCCGGAACCATACGACAGGTTGCTATAAAGGCACCAAACCATTGTTATAGTAAGATTGGGTGTAATTTAATGCGCAAATCATTACAGTTTGGTCGGCGAATTGCTGGAATGTGGGCAATTCGACCGGTCCTGCTGTGAATTCCACTGGTTAGCGGGCTATTTGCGGCTGTGGATAAAGGAAAATACAAAAGCCAACGTAGGGCCTTGAAGAAGGAAAATGGCTGACTATGAATTTTCCCGCTCGGAAGTTAATGTCCACTTTGAAAGTTATCAGCAGGTCTGAGGCCCTGATAACTAGTGTGCCACTAAGGCGGACTTAGTGTCCGAGGCGTTTCCACTGGGCCCTTCGGCTTTTCGCGTACGGAGCCCCTTTACGCGATTTTTTTAAAGAACTTTTACTTTCTATTAATGTATTTAACTAGTTTCTTATCGCTTGCATGATTTGCTGAGCCAGGTGTGAGATTTTTTGAACTTAATGTTAGTGTGCGGTCTAGTGGAAATACCCTGTAACAGAAACCCAGTCTGCGCGAGAAATCAGTAAAAAATGCAAGCGTGCTCGGACGTCCTATTCAGCTATCAGCGTGCGTCGCCTCATCCAGATGTTATGAACGATTTGCGCAAGTTTGCGTTGTGGCTTGATAGCGGTCTGTCGTACACCTAGGTTGACCAGCCCTCCACGTAGGCCGTCATACGCAGGACATCCTAGCAACACGTGAAAATCATCTTTCAATGCGTTATTGTTGCCACAGATCCTACATCAGCGCTTTTGACGCGACCGACCGCGGGGTCGGTTGACCTCCAAAGGCTACGCCCGTGTGCGAAACCGCAGCAGTGACCAACATGACTTCGCAGGAATGTAGCACGCCGTGTGTTTCGGTGTTCCCATCCCATGGGTATGCTGGCACATCTTAACCCCTGGTTTACGGTTGTCCAACACAAATTCCCGGGGTGTAGTATTTAGTCGTGCGTTCTGTCAGTCATCATCAGATCGCTCCTCCAACCTTCTCATGACAGATCCAACATTCATCGGGTTCGTCGCCAGTGGTTTTTTAATCTAAAACTGGAGCCGAGGTTTTTGTAGCTTAGAGGCGCGCGACTTTGAAGTTTTTAAGGTTTACCGACCTAGTAAGTGCGGTCATTATCTGGAAATGTCGGCTACCCTACTGAAGTGACCGGTTGGGTTATACTTAACCGGTCGGTGACTGATGGCCCTTTTATGTCATAGGGGGGCCGCGGTGTGCGTGCACGCTGCGGCGCCCGCTGTTTCTGCTCACGCTGCCTTGATTGCGGTGCGGCCTCCCGCGGTTTCCTCTGCTTGACATGGAGGCGGCGCGCAATGCACCGTCCATGGATTTGCATCGGCGCCTTAGCAGCAAGTGTGCCTACACCAGATGATTCATACATCCAAACACGACACCGTTCCTCCGCTTGCAGCCCAGTGCCGTACAGCCTTCCCTGTGGAATACTGCGGGGTGACTGGCTGCACCGGGCTGAGCCCTTTTCGGCTTCGAAGAAGCTTAGTACCCTTGTGCATTTCACTGCACTCGCACCCCACATTTTATTGTGGAGGAGATGATGCTCCATTCCGAATGCCGACACACAGCCGCATGAAACTGCACCCAGGGTTAGTCCCCACAAGAAATCACAAGTCCAACATGGCATACACACATACATGCGCACACACACGCTTCGAGCCCTCCATCTCAAATTTTTCGTCCCACGTCTCAGAGCACAGAGAGGATGAGATGTACATACATACAGTCACACGTCCCCGGGCCCCTCTTCCATCCCGCCACGTCAGCAGCAACACCCCCCAATCCCCCCAGGGCAACCCCCTACAGCACACAGCCATTTCCGCCGCCGACAGACAGGCACCCGCAGTGGGCACTCGCCATCGGCAACATGTGGTTGGCTACTGCCCAGGAAAGGCATAACGGCAAAAAAACGACAGACGGACCGACAGACACACGTGCTGCTGCTGCTGTTGCTGTTGCTGTGGGTGCGCCCCTCCCGCTCCCGCAGTCCCGGAGCACAGTCTTTACCCCCCTAGTGGTGGTATTCGCCTTATTCAACCTTCAGCGGTTGCTCGTATCCCCCTCCGGACCCCCCTCCTTCTCCAGCTAGTCTCCGAAACTGGACACCACAAGGCTGTTCTTGGCGCTGCCGAGAGCTGGTTTCTTCTTCTGCACTGAGATACGGTGCCAGACGTTGTCCCGGTCGGCCTGGGACTCCAGTCCCTGAGGGGATCAGGACATCATCCCCCGGGGTTGGGGTTGGGGTTGGGGTTGGGGTTGGTGTGTGTGTGTGTGTGTGTGTGTGTGTGTCTGTGTAGAGAACTGAGCCGCGAAGTAGGCAGGAAGTGGCAACGATGGTACACGGGAGGTGATCATGTCTGTGTAAGCATGTACGTCTGTAGGTATGTAAACATGTGTCTGTCTGTCTGCCTGTCTGTATGCGTGTGGGTAATGTCAAGGAAGAAGGAGGAGGTTAACTGCACAACCCCCCTCCGGGGCCGCACCCACCCCACCCCACCCCACCCCACCCCACCTCCAGTACGAAGCTGAAGCGGTTCTGGTCAATCAGTCGTCCGTGGAGCAGCACAGCGGCCTCCAGCTGCACAGCAGGGCAGGAACGGGGGCAGCGGGTGTGGGGGGACGGTGTGGGGACGGTGCGTGTGTGTGCGTATGTGTGTGTATGCCCGGGAGCAGGGAGGGGCGATTTAGTCCGTGTATGTACGACAAGAGCTCAAAGTCATAACCTGTCACTCAATAGTACCGCCTCGCGGACGGGGGGAGCGGGGAGGGGGAAGGGAAGGCGGGGGAGCGAGTGAGCACGAACTCACAGGTGGGTGGGCGGGGGAGATGGGCTTGGGGACGGGGTTAGGGTCCCGGCCATGGTGCACAAAACACAGCCCGTTTCCCGCGTCTGGCAAGGTTACACCCGTACATCCACACGCATACACGCCCGTCACCCCAGCGCCCCCCTCTCCCCCCCACCTTATCGAATGACGAGGGAATGGCGTCAATCAGCTGTCGCCCCTGATCCGACCAAAAGTAGAACTCCGCCGTGTAGTGGCTGGAGAGCAGCTCGCCCGGGGAGGTGAAGGCGGGGGCGGGGGAGGAGGGGAGAGCCTGGGGCGTGTGGGGGGGATGTGAGGGGAAAGACGAACCACACACGATTGAAGCTGCTGCCAGGGCAAGAGAGTAACAAACGTAGAACTGACCGAGAGGCGTCCGTGGCGACCGGTGAGGGGGTGTGAGGGGGGTGTGAGTGGGGGAGGCAGGGGAAATGGTGTACGGGTTACGTGGGCAGATCGGGTGTCGTGTTAACTGTGTTTCATCGTTTCTGGGATTGTGCGGGGTCCGGGGGAGAGGTGAGAGGACACACACACATACACACACACACACACGCTGATTGGGATGTGGCGTTGTGTGGAGGCACCGCGAGCCCTGCCCCGGTCGTTATGCAGTCAGCTGCATCACCCTTCCCCCCCCACGGCTCTCCCCCCTTCGGACACTGGGTTACCACCTCCCCACATACACACGCACAGATCATTAAGACACACACACACACACACACACACAGAGGCAGGCACACGGGTTGGGCCTCCCCACCTCCGACCCCCACCTCTAGTTCCCCCAGGAGGTCAGCGAAGCGGTCCGCGGGTATGGCCAGACTCTGCCAGGGGCCGGAGGGGGAGAGGGGGGCTGGCAGGTCAGGGCTAGGGAGTGGGAAGAAGAGCCTGGTGAGCCTGGCAGTGCGGTGCTCATGCTTCAAAATCACAACGCTACAGGCCACACAGAAATGCAACGTGTTACAAGCGGTAGCTTATTTGTACACTGTACGGCGTACGGCATCTTACCTTGCGCTCCGCGAGGATGGAGTCAATGACAATCTGCGTTGTGTGCGGGGGGGATAGGGGTCCAGGCGCGCGGGGAGGGAGGGGGAACAACCCCGAAAGGACGTTAAAACACACACACGCAGTGGCGATCGCAACCGGAGGAGTGCCAAAGTCGGAACATGGTCATCAGGAGCGGGGCAACCAACCGCCAACCGAAGGTATTGGGTCAGTCAAGGAAAGGCGGTTGGTTAAGATACCCCACGGAGTGGACCTCTGCTCCCCCCACACACACACCCGCCCACCCCCGCTCGCCAACAGGAGCCCCCCGGGGCGGCAACCACACGACTCGCTTCCCCCACACCCCCTACCCGCCAAAACCCCCACGCACAGGGAACCGACGCGTTCCAACGGCGGCAGCCCCACCTGAATGTGACCGAGTAGATCTGGCAAATCTCGTAGGTACAACACATACTGTACGACCTTTTTCTTCCTGCCGTACAGCCAGGGCAGAACGACGGGGGTAACATGTCACTTGGGCCGCTGAGGGAAAGGAAACGTGTCATGGCGCGGGTTACGGTGTCACGTCACCACCGCTCCCCCCTCCCTCGCCACCAGCGACCCTCTCTTCCCCTCCCCCATTTTCCCCTCCATGCCCCGCACCTGCGCCACATCAACCGCATCAATCCTCCTCCTTTAAAAGTCATTGTCGTACTTCGTACGACTTCTCACTCTTTCCGTACACCGCACTTGTTTTTCCTCTTGCCAGCAACCCGCCCTCTCCCCGGAGCAACAGCCCGGCCGCCCTCCCGCCCAGCCACCCACCCATCATCGAAGTATCGGAAGCTGAATCTGTTCTCCAGGTGCGTCCAGCTGTGTATCTGTCCCCACGGGTAGGCGAACAGACAGTCCTTGCTGTTGGGGCGGAGCAGTCGGAAGCCCAGAGGGCCCACCTCGAGAACCACCACCGGGCTCCGCTGTGGTGGTGGAGGGGAAGAGGGGAGCAGGGGGAAGAGGACGGGGGAGGAGGACGGGGTGGAAAGGCGAACGGGAGGGGGGAGGGTATAGGGACAAGGGCCGGAGGCCGCGGCAGCAGCGGCGGCGGCGGAGACGGACACGGGGCCACCCGGGGAGTGTTGAGGATGGGGGGGGTGGGGTGGGGGGACAAGGACGATTGGGAAATTGCGCACATACACATGAACATGCGGACTTACATACATACAAATGCACATGCACACACGCATCCGGTGTCCCTCTATTTCCTACACAGCGGTCGTACGGCACAAGGAAGGAGAGGAAACACCGCACGTACCCTTTTTACATCGTCGTCGTACGGCAAGCAGTAATAACATGCCTCCCTTGCGCCGCGGTAGTACGGCTGCTCCAACGCCGCCACGTCAGCAGCAGTTGGTTCCGGAGGCGTCCGGTGAGCGGCGGACGCGCCGGCCCCCATTGAGAGACACCCGGCGACACACGTAACCACACCGTCGTACAGTACGACACGTCACCGTACAATATTTCACTGCAGCAGTATTATATACTGCACTGTCACCGCGGCAGTGAACGAGACAGTGATGGTGAAGGAGACGGTGATGGTGATGTCCGCGTGCCGCGGCGAAGGGTAGAGTCTAGCTCGGACGCTAAGGTGGAGGTGAGGGTGGTTGCGGATATACTTCCTGTTTAAGCAATGATATTATGGCCGACTCCGGGAAAGACACACGGACGAACAGACAGCTAAGGACGGATTGCGGCGAGTGGCCGCAACGGAAGAGGACGGACAGGCCGCGGTGGGCTGAGGCTGGCTTTGCTCAGGAAGGGAAACCGGAACCTGCAGGTTGGGGGACAAAGGATGGCAGCTGAACGTGGAGCTGAGGAAGGTGCGCCACAAGGTAAAAGAGCAGAGCTAGCAAGAGCAAGAGAAGGTAACCGCAGCAACCAGCTAGATTTGGGGCGTTATCATGTGTCCATTTTCGGGCGAGCCCTTGTCCCTGATGCCATGCGCCGATCGTGGGGCACCGAACACGCACGAGGTTAAGCCTATAATGTAATGCTGCCAGCTGCATGACACACTTCTTTAACGTTCGCATGGTGCATCGCATCCATCGTATGCAGGAAACTACGCGAAGTAACCTGAAAAGTACATGTCATACCGGCAACTCCGTAGACAGCCGGCTCTGTAGACAAATGTGATGGAGACGTAATTTACAGGATGTTGAAAACACTGGTTTTGTGTAATTGTAGTCCTGGAACAAGAGAAGCTCAAGGGCTGCCCTGTTAGTCGAAGTGTCAAGTAGGTAACGGCGGTAAGCAGTTACGCAGGACAGGAACATTGCTGTAAGTAAAAAATCCCAAAAAAACTTGCAAGAGATACCTCCGAAGCAGCTCGTCCGTATACGAGTGTCACGGCATTCGACTTGAAACGTCGCGGACCCAAGCGAGGGGTATCTAATGTCCAGGATTGCGATGCTGCAATCGCACGTATGTTAATTAGAACGACCATGTTACATATCCGCACGTCAGCATCATAGGCCTGAAGCACGGATCGCTCTAGACCACACGAAATCGAGCTTGCGAAAGAATTATCGTTTTAAATTTCGTATCAGCTGTGCAAATATACAAAGTATTACATTATCTATTCTTTGGTTTTCCCGAAGGGCATTAAAGGAACTTGGTAAATGCCAACAAGCACCAAGACCAATGCAAGAGTCACCGACGTGTTATCGGGTTGACATTCAGCATATGAGTGTGCACTTGAGAATCATTACTTCTGTGGCTGTGGTACATTGGTGGACAACTCTGGGCCCAAGAAGGCATGGACCGCAGCAGGAACCGCAGCACGCAAATCCAACTTCCCGACCACGGCCCGGTAGCTACAGCATACAAAACCTTGTGCCCGAAGGAACGCGACCAAGCCGCAACTCCCTTACCCCTTACCCTTTCTAATTGCGTTTTTTTTGGGGTACACGACATCACACCCACGTACCGTTAGGGCTACCCGGTCCCCTTAAGTGGTGCAACTTGGCACCTGCATGCTGCCCTGCTGCGCTCCGCATATGGAAATCGGAAAGGAGATGCACACCTCCACGATCACACGTCTCGCTGTTGCAGGTGGGGACATCTGGCGCCTTGCCAGACAGCAAAAGCAGGGCACGCGCTGCCAACTCCGCCACAGAAAATCCGGATTTCCTTGGTATATAATGTACGGGTCCCATGGACGTGGGTTAACTCTGAAGTCTCGATTGGGGAGCCGGAGGTTGGCTGTTTTTTAGGCCGTTTTCTAGTTAGCGCGCAACGCCTTGAACCCACCAACATCTTGGCCCGTTGCAGAACTCCCTTATATCGCTTGGCTCAATTGCAGGACGCTAAGTTGCGCGGCGATTGCATCTTTCGCTCTTAGCACAGCATCAACTTCCCATGAAATTCTAACTAGCGATGCAACCACAACTTGTCCAACGTCACAAATCAGCAAGCTTTGGTATATAACCTATCTCGCATGTATTGCAGTCGCCAGCCGCGGCCCGTGGCGTAGCAGAAAACGAAAACATCATGGCAGGTCGTCCTCCACAACACAGCGCGCTGCGGCGAGCTTTCGGGGCGATGTTCGACTGGGTGATGGGCAAGAAAGTAGTGGGCAAAGATGCAGCAGGAAACATCTATTACAGGTCAGGCATTCCGATACCATACCATGCACCGCACCGGATGCTCTTGCCCACACCTTCTCCGTCCCAAATGCTCACCCAAAAAGTAACATTCCATCATCCATTCTTTTACTTGGGAGGTGGTTTGAGGGCTCGGGCCCTGACCGAGTAGAGCGGCGCGAGGTGCAATGGGCCAGCGCCTACATGTTCTACGACCCGAACGATATACACCCCGAGTGGCGAATGTGGCTCCGAAAACTTAGGGAAGAGCCGCCCACAGAGGCCGAGATTCAACAGTAAGCCTTTCTTTCTGCCTGTTTGGTTATGTAAATGTACCTCGCTACAGTACTGAAGAACGGATCACCATAGCTTTTCCATACCGTGCAACCGGAGGTACATGTCGTACAAACCAAAGACCAGAGCGTGCATCGGGCTGTCATCTGTTGGGTTTGGGTCTAGGGCTGAATCCAGCGTTCCTTTACTCTCGCCCCTCACCCTCGCCCTGCGCTTGCCCGTCTTAGTACCGAAGCTCCGTCAAAACCGTAACCCCCTCCCCTCCCCAACCCTCTCCTGCGTTGCGTCCACCGGCTCCACCCCGGCCTATGTGTGTGTATGTATGTGTGCATGTCTCTGTGTTGTTGGCAGGCATGCGGCCAAGCAGGCGGTCCTCAGGTCGCGAGTGGCGGCATTAGAGGAGGCGGAGAGGCTGCGGCGACTGAGACAGCAAACTGTGGGGACACCTGTAAGAGTCGGGAGGGGGGAGAGGGGGGAGGGGGGGCGGAAGGGGGGGGAGGGGGGCCTGGGTAAAGTAGTTATAAAGAGGCTGGCTGTGCGAGGACGGGGTAAGCTGTGCCCTGGAAAGTTGGCTGGGTACTATCGAACCGATCCGCTAGGTTGGAGGTGGTTGTTAGTTGTTGGTTGGGTATTTGACAGGGGCCAGTGGCACACTCACACGCACGGGCAAGGGCGCGCGTACGGCCACGCGCATGGCCTCTCCCTCCTCCAACTTCCCAATCCTGGGGCTTGTCACCTGACCATCGCCTTGGCTGCTTGGCGGGACAGTTGCTGGACAGGGTGGATATATCCAACTGACACAAAACCTAATTTTATGCTCACGACGTCGATGTAAGTTTTTAAAACTTCCTTCTCTCTCCCCCCCAGTCCTCCCACCCCGCCCGGGCCCCACTCCCCCCCGGATTCGACCCCTCTCCGGGCCCCTCCAGGACCAGCACGCGGGGCCGCAGCCGGATATGGCGAGGTTCCTGGAGCAGATGAGGGCTGGCGGGCCGGTGCCGGCGGGGCGGGGGCCGGCACCCGGGGGCGGGGGTGAAGGAGCGGGGGGACCCCAAGGTGAGTGGGGGACATGTACTGCAAGTCTTTGCAGGACTGCATGTGTATATGTGTGTTTGGCCGGGGGCAGCTTGCAATGGCAGGGGACGCACGGAAGGCAAAGCCTACCGGCGAATGGAGTGGGTCATTTTGGAGTGGGTATTATATTGCGTTTTCCCCTTTCAGGGCCCCACCCCATCTTCCCCCGCCATTGACGTCTCTGTACTGTTTGGGCGGCGTCCCGGTTGCGTCCGTACGACTGCCGTAGGTACGGCAACTGCCAAGGGCCCAGAGCCGGACGCGGGGCCTAGCGGGTCCTCAGCCGAAACATGGAGGCCACCGCCGGGGGCGTAACGCCATTTTCCGTGTCCATGACCTCCCCGAGAATATCAGATAGAGGAAGAGCTGAGATCTTTCCTGTAAGGGCTGTACGTGTGTGTGGGAGAGATGAGAGCTTGGTGGCGCAGCCTCTGGAGCCCAACAAGTTCAGTCGCCATGTACGGTCACGTTTGGTGGCTGGGTCGGTTGGTTGGCTGCGCTCCATACTCGCCGTGAAGTACTTTCCTGGCGTGGGGGTCCGTGGATGCACGGACGACCTTTGTTGTGGAGGCGGCAAGGTCAGGAGGAGGGAGTGCACGACGGGGTATGTAGGAAGAACATATGGGGCAATTAATGCCTTCATGCGAGGTCATCCTTGTGGAGAGGGGCCCCTTGAGGAGGAGGTATGAATGTCATCGTGCATCTGGTCGAGCCTGATTTGTGTGTTCCCAGAGTTTGGTTATGACTGGATGTTTAGCTGCGATGGCGTACCCCGACTGGTGGGAGATGTTATCCGTATTTGGCGCCTTGGGCATTGCGGGCGGATCAGCGGCTGTGCTGCCGATCGGCGACGACTTGAAATGTGGTGGCATAGTGCCCATTGTGTCCATTTGTGAAAATTGGGTTTGTTCCCTTGCAAGGATGGAGAGGTTGCCACTTGGGAAGTGGCAGGGCAAGCGGTCATGCAAACTGGCGGAGAGGCAGGCAATACGTGTGGAAGGCAGAAACGAAGCTGCAAGTCGGATGGGTTACTTTGGTGCTAGGTAACGGTTTGGTCAGGAAGGCTGCTGTTAAGTGTCGATGCAAGTAGCGCCCAGCCCGCAGATATTTTAAATGAGCGGATGAGAACTGATGAAATCTGGTTAGCCCCGCCAGCCGGACCGGGTACGACAGCCTTTGCGACCGGCCACTGGACCGGAACCGGAGCCGCAGATTTCGGAACGAAAAGGTGCTGCTCGACGCCCTCAATCAAATTAATGCTGAAGTATGAACATTGCCAGCGTTTGGAGCTGTCAGGCCGACTTGCTGCGACCTTTGCGTGTATTGGGTTGCTTTGAGACACATTAAGCCACACACACATGTACACGCAAGTGAAAAATGAAATGAGCAAAGTAATATTTTCCGTTTCCGATAAATAGAAGTTGGAAGTGCAACACCCTCACAGTCCGTAACACCCAAGACCTCAAGGAACAATGAAGTTCGATGAAGTTCTGTCTGCGGCTCTCGTGCCGACGAGGCATGCAGGTCTGGTGCGGGTGGCTTCAGCGCCGACGGGGCATGGACGTCTGTTGTGGGCAGCTGCAGCACCAACGGTGCGAACTGGTACAGCGTGCGACGATGACAGCTAGAGCTGAGGAATCAGGAACTTTTGCATAGTTGTCGACGTTGGGGTTGCAGTAGTCGAGATGGTGTGATTAATCTTGCCATAAAGTCTGTCAACTGACAGGAGGTTCAACGATCTTGATCCGCACATCCACCACCTGGTCTGTATATCCACCACGGAACCCGCACCCCCCAGCACGTTACCCCGGATTTCTTGCCATCCAGCTGTCAGCCCAACGTTACCTAACCTCCCGACAGCACCAAGCCTGATTGCTGGCACATTGTACAACAGAAAGGCAAGGGTCTGGCCTAAGGTATTGAGGCTGTCCTGGGAATTTGCTGACAGGTTGGAACGTGGGTGTGCAGCTGGGGCCCCAGCTGGTATACGAGGGGCATCAGGAGGTCAGTCATGTACACCCTGGGTGGCCTGGGAAGTATCCTGACCCGCTAAACGAGGAGGACTGGTAAGTAGGAATGGTATGTAACTAGGGTTGGCACTCATCTAAAGTCGTTTTTCTAATCTAATTATTTCTCTTGAGAATCTCAATGAGAATTTAGAAGGTCTTTTTTGGCACTTGAGGAGACGGTTGGGTCGTTATCTAATGTACGGCACTATAATTCTTTATAAATCTTTAGAAGCCATATATTTCCTTACTAGAAACTCAGAACAAAATTGAATACCGAAAATGGCAGACACTAGCACTGCCCCAAACCAGGGGCAGAGCCAGGAGTCCGAAGATAAGAAACCGAGAGAGTCACCGAGTGGGCCCTGATTCGTTGAAACCTTAACCCTTAGGATATGGAGTTAAAGAAGCATCAAAGGGATAAGCGCCTGTGACGTGTACTCGACCGTCCAGTGCGCCCTCGCATGCTTTGACCCATGGGTCAATACTGCGGCGGAGTATAATGGCTTGTTTCTGTCGTGCAATTGTGCTTCGCAACGTCCCCAAACTTAATTATTATAACAAATATACCATACAGAATCATCCTACAAAGTTTCAGAGCCAGTCATGCATTTCCCAGAAAGCTGCCAAAACTTGACATGAGAATCTAACCCATTCTATTGAGATCTAATGAGATCTCAATAGATTGAGATGAGAAGACTTCCGTTTCTAAACCTAGGGGCTACCCTATATGTAACGCATGTGGACTCCCTGGGGCTTAAATAAGCATTTAAATCTTTGCAGATATGAGACACCGCTGCTCTGCATGCCTGGCGACCGTCAGAACACTGTACCATGTGAGTCTGTCTTGCAATGGGTCACCACCCTGTTCAGTGCCATCGGGCTGTGGACGACTAAGAAGCTTCATGCAATGCGGGTTGCACCTGCCCGGATCCTTGATGCCTATGGGTATGTTGGCCGCTGCTGGTTATGATTTGCACATTCTTGGTCTAATGTTATCTTTTTCTGTTCAGGATCTCACTTGACAGTATCAAGAATATTGGTCGCTGGAATAGGGAGCCAGCTGTCTCGTCATACCTTGTGAGCCAGCCAACAGACGGTTTGCTTACACTTGTGGGCTTTCCTTGCACCGCTTCCAACACTCCGGTCACAGCACACTGGGCACCCCGGTTTATGGTTCAGATACCTGAGGAGGTGCTGTCCGTCTGTTTCCCTTTCTTAAGACACTCAGGCCAGCAGTTGCAGAAGTTGAGAAGGTCACAGGGCGCAATGCTCGCTTGTCAGTGCCTTACCACTTGCAGTTCCTGGAGTTCTCAGCCCGGTGTGCAGTCCAGGACTCGTTGGAGCTTGTGAACACGTGCCTGTGCTAGTCCTGTGCTTACAAAAGGATCCCATGTGGCAGCAGGTCTACTTCCTGCTACAGGCATGCTCTAGCAAGTGTATCTTCCCTTGCTTGGCAAATGGTGGGCTCGTAGTCTTCACTAATGTCAGGGTTTATTTTTGTAGGACATTGCGGCAACGAACCCCCCCATCGTCATAGACCTACCCGGGGGCATTCAGAGGCAGCTGGTAACATTGCAGCAGACGGTCAGTGGCCGGCAGGAGGTCAGCACCACGGGCAGGGAGCTGCACCAGCCAGCGGCGGCGCATATGCTCCCCTTAGGTGCGCGCGCGTG